GGAAGGCACTCACTATAGATATGGAAATTACTACCCAATTCATCCACAGGTTCTGGTGCACACTAGAGCTGACGGACCCAGGTACAATTACGAGATTGATTAATTTATAGAGTGTGTTGTTTAATTTTATAAATTATTTTTGCGGACAGGTCAACAGAGTGCACCGGCGAGCGGATGGACTGATCGTGACTATTTTTATCGCCTTGCTGCGGAGCTTGAAGCGGCCGATCCTGCGACGCTGCGGTACGTGAATCAGTTCATCGACTCGCAACTTCACCCCGACCAACAAGGTTACAAAGGACCTGAAGTGAAGGATAATCCGAGAGGTCGGCCCAAGAAGCCCAATTCAACAAAGCGCGATCTATCGAAATGGGAGCACAGTGAAAGACGCCGTAAAAGCACTTCCTCGTGTGCTCCATCGCAATCGGAGTACACCGAAACAGGTCGCCGGGTGGGGCGTAAAAGCACTTCTTCGTGTGCTCCACCAGTATGGGATTACAGGGAAAGAGGTCATCCGGTGGGGCGTAACAACATTTCTTCGTGTGCACCGACAAGCTCATCTTCTCAACATTCAGATGAGCCGACAGGTGATTTTTTTTTCTTATTTATTTGTTTATGTTGAACGATAACTAATTATGTTTGTAAGTTCGATTATCTAATTTGTGACGTGAAATTATTATGATATTACAGATACTTTCTCGACGGTTTTCTACGAATATCCGCATTATTGGAGAATTCCCTACGTAATCCACCCTTACGTAGAAAGCTATCTGGATGTGACGCCGGATGGGAACTGCGGATTTCGGGTGGTTGCGAGTTACATGCACATGAACCAGTTGAGGTGGCCAGTGGTAAGAAGGAACATTGCAAATGAGATTGTAGCCAACAGACAGTTGTACGATCCTGTGTTTTACTATGAAACCGACAGAGCAATCGATCGGATAAGATGGGAAGGGGGGCCTTGTAACGAGGAGCATTGGATGGAAGTTGTAGGTGACTTCTTTGCTATTGCTACAGTATATAATGTACTTGTGGTGTTGTTAGGCAGTGGTGACAAAAATGACAATATCGATTTCAATAGCATGACATTTTTGCCGTTGTGCGCACCATCCACGGCTACAAGACCTGACCGCGAGATCGCCATAGGTCATCTTGGTTCTTACAAAGACTTCATTCGTCTGAATCTGTCATCTGATTGTCCATTACCGCCTATTTGTAACCTTTGGCGGACATTCCGAGATGCGACGGTTGCAGGATGGGATGATCAGTATCAGACAAGGATCGAGTAT